TTTTTGCTACATGCACGGCCGCTTCCTGATTCATATAAAAGTCACCGGAGAAATTCAGCTTCGTTTAAAAGGACTTCTTAGAACCTGCCCTGGCTTGGCCATGCAGAAATTACTGACGTATGCAGGAGACTGAAGCAATACAGCAGCTGTTAAAAAAACACACTCAGGGTCCAGACACTCCAGTCAAGCTTGTTTAGCTTCGTAGCTAAGAGGTTAATGTCTATGTATCTGTCTGCATGTGTGTGTCTGTGGTTAACAGTGAAAGCCGTAACACTTTTGGCTAATTAGTCAACAATTATAAACAGTAACATACCACTGCAGTGATAATCTCGCATAAAAAAATAAAAACACAATTGTGAAATAAACTGTTAAACATGTCTGTAAAAGGATTACAGTTTCCAGGACACAGGACAGCTTAAAGTAACAGAACACTGGTCTTTTTGGCACTGTTCTGGCACAGGGTTCAAAAAAATAAATAAAAATAAAAAAACTCAGTGTGCATTTGTTATTGATGTTTGAGTGACATATTTAGAGATGCTGGAATTATTCCATAAAGAAAAATACAAGCAAAGAAAAAACAAACAAACCCGAAAGCTTAAAAAGAAACACTGATAAGATGATTATCTTATTATCTTGAGATAACAAAGTTTGTTTTGTAACCAAAACATCCTTCCTTATTTAAGAAGACACTGATTTCTAAAACCGAGCTTTTAACTTTCTGTTCTCTCCTGCAGCTCCCACCTTTAGAACAGGGGTCGGCAACCCGCAGCTCTTTAGCGCCTCCTTTGCGGCTCCCTGGAGCTTTTTCAAAAATGTATGAAAATTTATTTTTTGTTTGTTTTGGTATGGAGCGCAGGAGGCCAGACGAACATTCATTATGTTTTCCAATGCTGCTGCCATCAACACCTTTGTTTATAGATGTTGGAGATGGGCCTATTTTTCAGTGTAGTCCTGTTTCTCTGACTGAGACTGGCTGGATGTGCTCTCTGTTTCCTGGATTGGGCCGCCTTTCACTAACCTGACAACAGCCAGATGCATGTCTCGCTCCGCCTAGCTCCACTCACATACATCTGGGAACCCGCTCATTGAAAGTGATTTCCCCAACCAAATTTATGGTCTGGCCAATCAGGACGTAGTGCGGGTGTTTCCTGGATGTGACGTAGTGGAGAAGCGACTTCTGTAAGTCGTTCATCTATACTTTTTATTGGTTGGCTTCTTTTTTTAAAATAAGTCTGCTGTGCACAATGTTGCCTTTTATCCGCACATTTTCATGGCACAAACGGCATTGATCATTTACCGACATTGCGCTGATTCCACTGTTGCTATATCCAAGATGTCGGCTGTTCTGTTTTGTTTT